AACTCTACGAGATGAGAAGTAATAGATCGAATATATTTTATTGAATTAGTAACAAAAATAAAGAAAGAAAATGAATAAAGTTTGAATCTACAAATAGTAAAGAGAGAATTCATATTTAAGGGCAAAGGGAGTAATGTATATTACTTGTTGGCTTATGGGATATAAGTTAGATAATTGAAAAATACATGGAAGTGATTATGCATACCCACTAGGGCGGGTTCATCATCCTTTATATATATTATTTGAGACTCGGGCTCACAGAATGTCGACATGTGGCGGGTCTACTTGGCAAGTTTTTTATGAGTCATCCGCCACCTTTGAAGAGTTTAATGACTTGGCACTTTTATATTAAAATATAGAAAGATCCAATTCTGATTAATATGCCTAATATATACGATGTACCTTATACGGCGACTAGAATATAATTACGAAGTAGAAAAATAAGAAGATAATTAGGATGAGTAATTTTTAAGTACTGATAATATATGTTTAATTTATTTTTATGTAAATTAATATTTCCATTGAATAATAATAATAATACATTTAAGTTAGAACAAATTGAAAAGGTTAAAAAGGAGAAAGACTATTATAGACGTAAAGTATAAAAAAGTATCAAAATTACTTATTTTGACTTCTACTTCAATACTTCTCCCTTCTAACTATTATTGTCATTTGAGTTTACTTTCATCTTTTTTTATTGTAAATTCTAACGTCTAACATTTGATAATTTTAAAAATAATTAAAATTTTGATTCTAGGCATTTTTTAACTGAGAAAATTATAATATCCAAAATGGACACTTAATCATATTGTTTAATAAAGAGAGAATCGTGAGTATTTCTTTGGTGCACCTTGAGTGCGTATCATTTTTGTGGACATTCTCACATAAAATATATTTTTTTAATTTTTTTATTTATAAAAAAATGCTTATTTTAGTAATAAAGAAATACTTATTTTGCTCATATGTACGTCTATGGTACACCTTAAGTCCACCATAGAATTTGTCGAGAATCATTAATATGTTTAAAACGAAATTCATAGATTGAAATAAGACCTTCAATGCGTTAAACCAACGATAATAATTTTAGAATTATTGAAGATATTTTTTGAAAAAATTGCATACGCAATGTTGACTACTTAAGTAAATTGTTTTTGGGGAAGCCTAATATAAATAAATAACCTTAGATATTTGAAGAAAATTATACTACATCCGTCCCATTAAATTTTTCAAATACAAAGAAAGGCGTCCCACAAAACTTTTCAAATTAGAAAAAAAGCACACCCTAAAATCATTTATCCTACACATTATACCTTATTACCTTATTATAAAGTAAAGGAAAAGTTTAAAAATAATATCAAAATTATATATTTTTAAAGGAGTTCAGTGTTATGTCATTTCCAGATGATAGTCTTCTTAATATATTTGAAAATAATTTCTTGATTTAGAACTTGAACTATGACAAAGAAAAATTGTCATTTGATTTTAGAGGATATTTATCTACGATGAATGAAGATCAAAGAAAGATATCTGATGTGATAATCGAAATCTAATATCTAAAAGAGAAGGTTTCTTTTTTATATATGGTTACGGGAGACTTGGGAAAACATTTATATAGAAACCAATGTCTACTTTTCAAGAACGAATGGTATGTAAGGCTGTTTTGAATGTTGCATCCAGTGACATTGCAGCATTGCTTTTGCATGGTGGAAGGACATCACACTCGAGATTCTCAATCTCTCTGGCTTTAACTGAGTGCTCAATGTGTGCTATCAAACAAGGGGGGTCCGAAAGCAGAATTAATCTAACAAGGAAGTGGAATCATATGAGATGAAGCATGTGTGATGAATAGATTTGTTTTTGAGGTATTGGATCACACAATGAGAGAAATATTGAGGTTCTACAATAATAACTCTAGAAATGAACCATTCAGAGGAAAAATATTAGTACTCGAAAGTGATTTTTGCCACTTCCTTCCAATTTTACCAAAGCTTCGAGAGAGAAAATTATAGGTGCTACAGTGATTTCCCCAAAATAGAGGTTGTATTGTAAAGTTTTTACGTTGAGCAAGAATAAGATATTGCATTCATCTATGTCCTCTTACCTAGATAGGGATACACAAGCTTTTTCTGATTAGATAATCAAAATTGGAGATGGAAAGCTTGGTCAAGTGATTGGTGGAATTGCTGACGTTAAAATTCTGACTGGATTCTTGATTCTTGACATAAGTTATCCTCCCAAGAGTTTAGTACTGGAATTCACTTATCTGAAGTTATTGGAGAATATGAAAAAATATTCCTTTTTTAGGATTAGGCACCATTAGCACCCACTCTCGAAGTTGTTGAAATGATAAATGAGTTTGTCTTATTCCTCATTCTCAGTGATGAAAAAGGAGTAATTGAGTTATGATTCTTAATGGCAAGCAGATGCCAATGTAGGTCTTGATGCTTATTGGATAACATTTGAATTTTTGAATGAAATCAAATGTCCAGATGTTCGGGGATCCCAAACCAATTCAAAAAATAGTTTTGAAAAAAAGTGTACTGATTATGTTATTTGGATTGTATAATGGTACAAGATTAATTGTTGAAGAGGTACGAAAAAATGTTAACCGTGCAATCGTGGTTTCGAGAAATCGAGACGGGAAAAAGGTTTACATACCTCGAATAAATTTGGTACCACATGATCCAAAGCTACCTCCTAAAGTTTCAAAAAAGACAATTCCTAATAGTTTTATGTTTTGCTATGACTATTAACAAAAGTCATGGTGAAACATTATCTTTTGTTAGGTTATTTTAACTAAGTCAGCAATCACTTATGATTAATTTTATGTTGTTCCTTCACGAGTGAAGAAAAATACATAATTAAAAATGTTTATTTTAGATGACAATAGAAACTCTTGCAACCATACCAAAAATGTTGTATACTCTGAAGTGTTTCAAAAATTTGGATTTTAATAAGTCTTTGTTTTGTATATACTTTCAATTCTTCAAATATTATTTATTTTATTTTGATGTTGATGTATATATAGTATTAAAAATCATGTAAGAAATTTATTTTATTTAATCCACAAAAAATAATACATGAAAAAAAGAATTGAAAAAAATTTTGTTCGGCCACGTGCTTGGCACGGGTCAAAATACTAGTTGAATAGAAAAAAAACACTCCCATTAAATATTTAAATCGTGGTCAATCCATTACATTTGAAGAAAATCATTTCACATAAAATATTGCCACTCTACTTTTTTTAAGTAACTTAAAGCCTAAAAAACTTAATTAACACTTAAAATGTATCAATGTGGTGGGTGTGTATCTAAATCTTAAGAAGTACTCAATCAAATACTTTAAACAATGTATAACCTGAGCTTGTAGAATGACGACATGATAGGAGATAGTGGTTAAACTTTGTCAAAGTGAAAGTATTTTGATAATTAAAGCCACGATATTATTTCTTAATTACAATAATCTAATTCTTATTATACACTCCATATATATATAAGAATCTTTTTAGGCATGGAAATCATAACGCAGAATTAATTTTCAATAACTACTAGAATTAAATAAGATGTAACATTTTTCTTTCTGAAAACGTAAAATTGTAATATTTACTGCTTTAGTTAATCCAAAAATCATATGATAGTAGATGATGTTGCTCATCTGGCTATTGTTTTTTGCCTAGAAGCACATATATTCCCTATATTTAAAAAAAAAGATACTTCCACCTTTTATTAGAAGAAGCCATTTTTTTCAAGTAAACAACAGAGATTAGGAAGCACATTTTACAAACTTTACCTAAAATAAATTGCAGTAAGGGTGTTTCTCTGTGTCAGTGCTTATTGACGTATTGCTGATAAGTAGTTTTTAACTTATAAGTTACTTATGAGCCAAATATTAATTTGTGGAAGTAAAATGACTTAAATAATAAATAAGTCATTTGTAAATATTTATAAATGGTGAGAGACAGATTTGTAAATAATCTGGTCAATACAAGGAAATGAAAAATTAGCTTAAAAATAAGTAGCTAAGACATACATAATTCTGGCTTGTAAGCAGGTTATAAGTCAGCTTATAAGCACACAGAAATATGTCACCAACTGACTTTAGTGAAAAACTGTTTATAAGCAATTTTGACCGGCTTATTAACACAGAGAAACACCGACATACTAAAAAAATGGAGTGTCGGGGGAAGGGTTGTTGGTTAGGACATTTAGAGGGTGTGAAGAGAAATATAAGATATATTGATAAGTCCGCCAGTTTTACACCACTTTTTTTTACTCAATCTTTATTTGTTTTGTACCGAGACATGATTTTTTGTGCACTTTTACAATTATAAACAAAAGCATTTAAAAACCAATGAAAAATTGTGCGAACTTATTTTCTCCATATGTAACGCTTTATTTGTCCAATTTTAGATCAACCAAGACAATTTTTCATTGGTTTTTAAATATTTTTGTTTATAATTGTAAAAGTGAACAAAAATCATGTCTCGGTAACAAAACAAATAAAGATTTAGTAAAAAAAAGTGGTGTAAAACTGGCAAAAGTAAATATTTACGTGCTATGGAGCAAATTAGAAGAACGCTCAGGGCCAAAATTCAAAAGTTGGCCGAAAAGCAAAGTTATGGGCTGAACCGTGGCCCTGGCAGAGTCCAAGTGCCGGCCTCGGCTCCTGGCGCGCACACCTAGACTAAAATGCAGATTAGAGCACTGGTAATACGTTTGAAGCCCCGGGGCTTCAAACCGGGGCTTCAAACTTTCTCTCTCTGCCACGTCAGCTTTAACTTACACCCAAAATTCACTTGAAATGGGTTTGAAGCCCCGGGGCTTCAAAACTGGGCTTCAAACCTTCATTTTTTACATTTTTAAATATACATCTTCTAAAATTAAATTAATAAAATGTAATTAATTTTTTATTTAATTAAATTGAAACACGAATAATAAAAAACACATTAATTAAATAAAAAAAAAGCGACAATAATTTAAAAAAAAGATACATTAATAAAAAAACTAAGAAAAATTATATTTCTCCTTGATCTCTCTCATTCTTTGCTCGTAGATAATTCGTCCAAACTCCGACAACGTCGCGGGGTCGGTTTGCATGACTTTCATCTCGGCCTCCTGCTCCTTTAGCTTCAACTCCTTCTCTTTAAGCTTCATCCTCTCTTGTTCTTGGAGATTGAACGCCCGAAGTTGTTCAACCATTGCCCGGCCGATTTCGTCGCGGGGAGAAGCAGAAATAGAGGCGGACCCTCCCGAACCAGAGGCAATNGATTTGATCGGTAGAACCGATGGTCTCGTCGACCTCAACCTCGGCGTCGACGGTGGATCTTTTCCGGAATGATACGCCGTCGGGATTGTTGAGTTGTTGCCACTTCGGGGAACGACTCAAAATCCCCCAAAGATCGATGGGCACCTTGCCTTGGTTCCCGTCGTCTTGATACCGGGTCGTGGCAAGCCGGAGAACATCGGCGTCGTTCATGCCGCTCCTCCGGGACCGGGAGCATTCCTCGTATACTCCCATAAATTTTCGTACTTTTTTGTTGATGTGGCTCCATTTGGAAGTGAGTTGGTCACGGGTTCGGTAGGAGCCGTCCTTCTTCATCGCCGTGAAGAACTTCTCCTCGATACGATCCCACATCGCATCCTTCGTTTGCTCCGTACCTTTAAAAAAGTATATAATTATTTTTTTTGACACCATTAAATATAATATATATAAATAAAAATATAAATATATTAGAAAAAACAAATTCTTTACCAATGATAGGATGCTCGTAGACGTCAACCCAAGCCGACGCCAATATGCACTCCTCATCCGGCGTCCACTTTTGGATTGCCCGTGCCGCATCGGTCAACGTGCCTTTGGCTTTGTGGCTCCTCCGGCGTGTACTTTTTTTCGATCCGGACGGTTCCGGTTGAGTCTCCGGAACCGAATCTCGGTCGACGTACCCCGATTGTTGCGTCTCGTATATCGGCGGTCGATCGCCCCACTCTTGGTAGAACAACATCGCGGCATCACTCGGGGGGAGATTGTCGGGATCGAAGCCGGAGCCGGAAGGATTCATGTTGAAAATTGGGAGGAGGGATTTGAATTTTGAAATTTAAAAATAAGAAAGAAGAAGAGATTGGAGAGAAGGTGTGAGAGATTGGTTGGGGAGGGTTGAATTTATAGGAAAATATTTTTTTTTTTTAATTTGGGGTGCAACGGCTATTTTAGCCGTTAGGAGGGAGCAGCGCCCAACTCACGCCCCGTCATTCGTTTGACGCAGGCGCCCTCACGCCCGTTTCACGCCGGCGGGGGGCGGTGTTTCACGCCCCCGGGGCGTTAAACGCCCCGTAACGCCGGTGGGCGTGAGGGGTGTTACCAGTGCTCTTATGTAAATAAGCTGACAACAGTTGGCTGACACGGCCCAGGCCTCGGCCAGGCGCAAGCCCGGGCTCCAGGCGCACGCCTGGAGTTCCGGCACCCAATAAATGTGATGATATGCTTCCCTCTTCCCATTGCCACCATCTCTCTATTCTAGCTCTTCTAAGGCCCTGGGCCAATTTCTAGCCCCGTTCTCTGTTATATTTTTACATTTTTGTATAAATATGTTTCGGTTGTTCGAAAATAGCTTCGACTCTGCTTCGATTGTAAGCTTTAATATTTACAATTTTTAATAATATTTCTTTTATTTTATACTCTGTTAATATTTAGTATCGGTTAGGACCTAGATTAGGGTCTGACTAATATTTGGGTATTTACTTTGTATGTTTATTTAATAGTTGGAATAATTATTCTAAAATTATGTTTATTGTTAAATTAATTAATTAAGTCAAGAGAAAAATTAATTAATCATTGGAAATTTGTTTTTGCATTGCCAATGAGGATACAATTAATTAAGCCAAACTTTTTAGAATACATTAATGGTAACTTGAGAGAGGATAAGTTAATGAAATATTTGTGACGAAAATATTATTATTTCAATTATTGATTAAATATGCTACAACAGTAGTTAACCTAGATAATATCTTGGCCCAAAGTCTACTTCTAAGCTTTATAGGTCTCGCAATACTAGAGTGTGGAAGAGCAAGGTCATTTCTCTGTTGGTAGGAATGGTGTGTCATGGTTACCATGGGAGTTCAACCACCAACTTAACCCTGTGGTGCTCGTTCATGGGAAATGCCTCCATCGAGCTATATGAAGGTCAACGTTGATGCAATAGGTGGTCTTATCACTTATGGATGCTTTTTTGGGTTTTAGCTTTATTGTTCATGACCATCAGGGACATTTCATTACGGCAAAGAGTTTTTGGTGTAGGACATGGTTTGGTGCTAGAGCGGCAGAGACTATTGCAGTGAAAGAAGCACCGAGTTGGGTTAAATCCAAAAGTTGGTCACGGGTTATTATGGAGAGTGATTTTAGAGAAGTTATTGATTCACTCTCTTGGTCTGATACAAGTGGATATTACTTTGATTCTAACATTAATGACCCAAAGCATGTCCAAGGACTTTGCGGCGGAGTTATTAGTTTTAGATTTATTTATAGGTCATCTAATGATGTATAGTGGGTGTTGGGGAATGGGTGAACTCACCCCCAAACTTCATGACTACCACCGTCTCAGAGTATTTTTCTCATTTTGACTTTTTGCAGTCAAAATCATAAATTTTGATCATTAGTTAAAAACAATTTATACGGAGTATTAAATATTTATACAAGAATAGTTTTATTAAAATTATCTCGTAATATATTTTCAAAATATTTCTTTATCTAATTAATATAGCTTGTAAATTTATTTAATTGTAGGTTATAGTGGGTCGATCTGGATTTGTTGGTGATTTTAGTGTCATCAGTTTATTTTGTGTAATTGGATTTACTTTGATTGGACAAGAATTTAAATAGACGTTGCCAAACGAGTTAGGAGGCGTGGAGTGTGCACTCGTTCAATAATATTATAAATTCACTGCGGGGTCCGGGGGCGGCAGCCCCCGGATAGCGGGGTCCAAGGGGCAGAGCCCATGGCCGGGGTCGAAGGGGCAGAGCCCCTGGCCGGGACAGCTTGGAAATTTTTTATTTCGGACGTTGTTTCTTTAAGAAAATCCTTAAGATTTTCGTGATCGAAGTCCAAAACGGAAAAGGACTCCAACAAGCGAATAATGTCGAAATTAACTCCAAAAGCCGCAGGAACTTCTCGCACCTCTTCTCCGCACGAACGTATGCGTATGTTTACGCAAACGGTCATGTCTGATCAAGAAATTTTCGACTCTATAAAATAGAGTCTCGTGGTATGGATTGATGACGGATTTGGAGTGCTTATTCTTGATTAACGTCTTATCCGAATAAAGTATTTCATATACCCCGAAATAACTTTGATCTGAAAGTGTTTCGTACGCGATTCGTTATACTATCAAGTTCTTCGTTCAACACTGCTTCGCAGTGTTCTTCCTATTAAAAATCCAACAAAGATCAAAGGTATTCGTGAAGTTGTACTTGAAGAACTCAAAGATGACATGTGGCGATTCCGTAAGAGATTTGAGCAGCAAGTTCTCGAAGTTAGAAAAGTTTGAAGGCCAAGACTTTCGTCGATGGCAGAAGAAGATACACTTCCTTAACGTTGAAGGTCGTGTATGTACTGAGCACGCCTATGCCACAGATCATGGATGACGATACACTGGAACAGACGAGGAAGCGGTGCAAGTGGGAGAACGATGACTACATTTGTCGAGGACATATTCTAAACGGTATGTCTGACTCTCTGTTTGATGTTTATCAAAATGTTGAATCTGCAAAGTTACTGTGGGACGGTCTAGAAGAAAAGTATATGGCCAAGGACGCTTCGAGCAAGAAGTTCCTCGTCAGTAACTTTAACAATTATAAGATGGTCGACTCTCGACCAGTCATGGAACAATACAATGAACTGTTAAGGATCCTGGGCCAGTTTTCACAGCATAACATGACAATGGATGAATCCATATCTGTGTCTAGTATTATAGACAAATTGCCTCCTTCGTGGAAAGAATGCAAACGTGAGTTAAAGCATAACAAGGAGGAAATGAATCTGGTGCAACTTGGAACCCATCTTCGGATTGAGGAGTCCATCCAAGATCAAGAGGGAAAGAAAGTGAAGGACATAGCCGGTCCATCGTCCATCAACATGGTCGAAGACAAAGGTTTCACCAAAGTGAAGAATAAGTCTAAGGGTAAAAAGCGCAAGTCCGGAAATACACCCAAACCTGCAAATAAAAAGGCTAAAATGGGTTGTTGGAAGTGTGGGAAACAAGGCCACTTCAAGCAGGATTGTCGGATTGGCAAGCGGGACAAGGATACAAGTAAGAGTGGTTCCGGTCAAGGAACCAAGGACCAAAACAAATCAGAAGGTCAGATTATTCCACTCATCAATGATTCGGTTAAGAATTATGTCTCAATTATATCTAATGCATTTTATGTGCAGGATGATGACATCTCTTGGTAGGTTGATTCGGGGGCAACATGTCACGTGTGCAAGGACAAAAGATGGTTTAGTTCGTTGGAATCAATGGACTATGGATAAGTGTTGCGCATGGGAAACATAGCCACCGAACCTGTCAAGGGAATTGGAATAGTAAAACTTGTATTCACTTCCGGCAAAAGTGTACTCTTTGATAATGTATTATATGTACCAGGTCTTCGTAAAAATCTTATATCAGGGATTGTATTAAATAACCATGGATATAAACAAGTATTGGAAAGTAATACATATATTTTATCTAGACATGGTGGCTTTGTAGGTTTTGGTTATTTATGCAATGGCATATTTAAATTGAGTTTGAATGTTCCTTTTGGCATGAATGATGTTTGTATGACGACTACATGTGATGCCTTAAACAAATCTGTTTTATGGCATGCTCATTTAGGTCATGTGCATTATAAAAGATTACAAGATATGTCCAAAAGTAACTTAATTCCTGCCTTTGACATAAACCAAGACAAATGTAAGACATGTATGTTAACCAAGATAACTAGAAAATCGTTTAAAGAAATTAAAAGGGATTCTAGTATACTTGAACTCGTTCATAGTGGCTTGTGCAATTTTCATGCAACTCCATCTATAGGAAATAAAAAGTACATGATCACCTTTATAGATGATGCCTCTAGGTTGTGTTATGTATATCTTTTACATGCAAAGGATCAAGCATTGGAAACTTTTAAGGTGTACAAAACCGAGGTAGAATTGCATAAAAATAACTTGGTTAAAACTCTTCGGACAGATGGGGAGGAGAATATTTTGATCCAGTTTATTTTCAATCTATTGGTATAATTCATGAGACCACTGCTCCCTATACACCACAACAAAATGGTGTAGCAGAGCGAAAGAATAGGACCTTAAAAGAAATGGTAAACTCTATGTTGTCTTACTCGGGTTTGAGTGAAGGATTTTGGGGAAAGGCTATGTTAACGGCTTGCTATTTGTTAAATAGAGTTCCTAACAAAAGGAGCAAAATTAACCCTTATGACATTTGGTATGGGAAGCCACCAAACTTGAATTATTTAAAAGTTTGGGGTTGTAGGGCGGTTGTAAGACTCCCAGAACCTAAGAGGAGAACCTTGGGTGAAAAAGGCATTGATTGCATTTTTATTGGATATGCTCAACATTCTAAGGCTTATAGATTCTACGTTATAGAATCTAATGACTCGGTGGGAGTAAATACCGTGATCGAGTCAAGAGATGCAGTCTTCGATGAGAATAGGTTTTCGTCGATACCTAGACCAAGAGATATGGTTCTAGGTGATTCATCTATACCAAACCAAGAGGGCTCTAGTAAAGACGTAGTTTCTACTAATGAGTCGTTCGTTCCTACGGAAATTAGGAGAAGCAAAAGACGTAGAGTTGCCAAATCCTTTGGCTCAGATTTTCAATTATTTCTAATTGAAGGTTCTAGGGATGAAATTTTATTTCAATATAAATATTGTTATAATATTGAAGCCGATCCTAGAACATATAACGAAGCTATGGCTTCAAGGGACGTGGCGTTTTGGAAAGAAGCTATCCAAGATGAGATGGACTCTATCTTGCATAACAACACTTGGAAATTAACTGACTTACCTCCTAGATGCAAACCCTTAGGATGTAAGTGGATCTTCAAGAAGAAGATGAAAGTAGATGGTTCGATCGATAAGTTTAAA